AATGTTCTGAATATATCTGTGATATTCATCTGGTCCAGTGAGTCCAGTGTGTTGATCTTTTGCTTAGATGATCTGTCCATTTCAGTGAAGGAGATGTTAAAGTTCCCTATTACTATTGTATTGTTCATGTGTTTCTTTGATTTTTTCTTTTTTTAATTAATTGGCTTGTATACTTGGCTGCTCCCATGTTAGGGGCATAGATATTTTAAATTGTTAGATCTTCTTGTTGGATAGACTCTTTAAGTATGATATAGTGTCCTTCCTCATCTCTTTTTATAATCTTTGGTTTAAAACCTAATTTGATATAAAGTTTGTCACCCTAGCTTTCTTTTGATCTCCCTTAGCATGGTAAGTGGTTTTCCACCCTCTCACTTTAAATCTGGTGGTTTCTTTGGGTCTAAAATGAGTTTTTAAAAGATTTTTATTTATTTATTTGATGGAGAGAGAGATCACAAGTAGGCAGAGAGGCAGACTGAGAGAGACAGAAAAGCAGGCTCCCTGCTGAGCAGAGAGACCAATGCGGGGCTCGATCCCAGGACCCTGAGACCATGACCTGAGCTGAAGGCAGAGGCTTTAACCCACCCAGCCACCCAGGCGCCCCAGGGTCTAAAATGAGTTTTTTTGCAGACAGCATATCAATGGGTCTTGTTTTTTTATCCATTCTGATAACCTGTGTCTTTTGATTGGGGCATATATCCCATTTATATTCAGGGTAACTATTGAGAGATATGACTTCAGTGCCATTGTATTACCTATAAGGTGACTGTTTCTGTATATTGTCTCTGTTCCTTTCTGGTCTGTTACTTTTAGGCTCTCTCTTTGCTTAGCTAACCCTTTCAATATTTCCTGTAAGGCTGGTTTGGTGTTTGGAAATTCTTTTAGTTTTTGTCTGTCCTAGAAGCTTTTTATCCTCCTCTTATTTTTAGTGACAGCCTAGCTGAATATAATATTCTTGGCTGCATACTTTTCTCATTTGGTGCTCTGAATATATCATGCCAATCCTTTCTGGCCTTCCAGGTCTCTGTGGATAGGTCTGCTGCCAATCTAACGTTTCTACCTTTGTAGGCTACAGACCTCTTGTGCTGAGCTGCTTTCAGGATTTTCTCTTTGTCTCTAAGACTTGATTTACTATTAGATGATGGGGGGGACCTATTTTTATTGATTTTGAGGGGGGTTCTCTGTGCCTCCTAAATTTTGATTCCTGTTTCTTCCCCCACATTGTGGAAGTTCTACACCGTAATTTGCTCCAATATACCTTCTGCCCCTCTTTCTCTTTCTTCTTCTTCCAGGATTGTAATTATTCTAATATTGTTTCATCTTATGGTCTCACTTATCTCTCGAATTCTCCCCTCGTCATCCAGTAGCTGTTTATCTTTGCTCAGCTTCTTTATTCTCCATCATTTAGTCTTCTATATCAGTTATTCTCTCTTCTGCCTCATTTATCCTAGCAGTTAGAGCCTCCTTTTTGATTGCCCCTCATTAATAGCCTTTCTGATTTCGACTTGGTTAGATTTTACTTCTCCAGAAAGGAATTCTCTAGTGTCTTCTATGCTTTTTTCAAGACCAGCTCATATCTTTATAATTGTCATTCTGAACTCTAGATCTAACATCTTACTAGTGTCCATATTGACTAGGCCCCTGGCAATCAGTACTGCCTCTTGCTCTTTTTTTTTTTTGAGGTGAGTTTTCCCATTTTGTCCAGAGAAGAATAGATGAATGAGAGAACAAAATGCTAAAAGGGTAACAATGACCCCATAGAAATATACACTAAACAATCAAAGGAGACCCAAAACTGGGGGGAAAAGAAAAAAAAAAAAAAAAAGAATATGATCAGGCTGGTGAATAGAACAGAGCCATACACTAGATTTGGGGTGTATTTTGGTCTGTTAGAAGAAACAGCAACCCAAAATTTTAAAGAAAGAAAAACGTATATATATACAAAAAAATAAGGTTAAATACAATAAGGTTAAATAAATAAATAAAGTTAAATACAATGAAGGGATAGAATAGTAAAGATAGTAAAAATGAGATAATAGTAAAGATAGTAAAGATGAAAATTAAAAGAGATTCTAAAAAAAGAATTGATGAGATAAGAAGTTGGTTGAAAAAGGAAAGAAGAAAATTTCAAAAAAAGAAACAGAAAAATAAGGAAAAATTTAAAATTAAAGTTGAAAGACTAAAGCATCATGGGGAAAAAGCTATGAATTCTATGTGCTGTATTCCCCTAGCACTGATCAAGTTCATTGATCAGTAAACTTGGTCTTGGCTGGATGTTCTTGCTGAACGCTGGGGAAGGGGCCTGTTGCAGTGATTCTCAAATGTCTTTGCCCAAGGCAGAATTGCACCGCCCTTGCCAGAGGCCAGGGTAAGCAATCTGCTCAAAGGTTTTGGTCTTGGGAGCTTTTGTTCCCTGAACACTTTCCATAGAGCTTTGGAGTACGGGAATGAAAATGGCAGCCTCCTAGTCTCCGGCCAGGAGGAGCCAAGAGCTTGGGGCCCCACTCCTCAGTGCACCCTCGGAGAAAAGCAGTCAGTCACTCCCATCCCCTGGTCCCCAGCTATGCTCCGTGCTCACCCGGCCTGCGACCGAGTGTTTCCATCTCAGGCGCATGGCCCTGTTTGGAGGTTCCAAACCTAGCCAATTCCTGCAGTGCGCTCCGAAGCCACTCCTCCTGGGGGTAAGAAAGGGAGTTTCCCCAGTTCTTTCACTTGTTGAACCCCTCCTCTAAAAGCAGTGGCCCAACTGTGCCTCGGATCATGGTTTAAGGTAACTCTGAGCTGAAAGCCCACTCCTTGGCTCTGTCTCTGTGGCCAGCTTCTCCACCCCATATCTGGGAGCTCTGCCACCCTCAGACGGCCCTGCTCTTTCTGCAACCTCAAGGGTCCTGAGACCACACTGTCCCCATGAGGGCTCCACTCCCCGCTTAGCCTCTGGAGCAACGTCCCTCAGGGAAGCAGACTTCTAAAAGTTCCGATTTTGTGCTCCGTTGCTGCACGGCTTGCCTGGAGCCGGCCCCTCCCCCCAAGGTCTCTCTTCCCATATATCGCCTCCATTCACTTCTCCACGTGTCCTACCTTGCAGAAAGTGGTCGCTTTTCTGTTCCTAAGGTTGTTGTTATTCTTTTCTTTGATCTCCTGTTGAGTTCATGGGTGTTCAGAGTGGTTTGATAGCTATCTAGCTGAACTCCTGGCACCAGATGAAATCGAGGTCTCCTACTCCTCCGCCATCTTGGACCACACTCCTCTAAGGCTTAGTTCCACACAGCCTTTGCATTATAACCACAGCAAACGGGTTTTATGATGGGATGGTAAAAGAGAGATCCAGGGTACCTGTGGTGGACCAGCCTCCTAGTGATGGTCCTGGGGATTACATGAGGCAACATGAAGGTTCCGGATATTCACTCATTCAGTCAATATTTATTAAGAACCCCCATGTGCCAGTGGTAAACTATGTATTTTAACTATATATCAGTGTGCAAAACAGAAGAGAATCCCTGTTTCATAGAGCTTATTAAAGTTTAGTGGGGTGAGATCAGACATATATTTGTACATAGTCTATCCTATGATTATAAGAACTATGAAGAAAAATAAGGCAAGTGACAGAGACAGGGAATCATCGCTGGAGCACTGGTTTGAGAGGTTGCTATCTGTCATAGGTTGGTTAGGAAGGCCTCTCTGGCCAGATGACATATGAGTAGACAGCGGACTCTGTGCTGGCCACTGATGAGGTGAGACTATATAGTTCATGGGATGACATGAGGGAAGAAATTTCCAGGCAGAAGGAAATGTAAAGGCTTCTAGTTGTCTGAGCACACTAAGTGAAATGATTAGAGGCTATGATAAACACATATCTGCTCTGTAAGTACAGCACCAGTTCTGCAGAGAAAAGTGTTTATGACAGGAAAAAAAGACCACCTACTTTTGTCTATATACACATTTACAAATAGTAATACTTCAGTAAAAGGTCAGTCTTGATACCAGTACTCAACTTTAAGGTTCTTTAGCCATGAGCCTTTCATTCTCACATGATATGTGGCATAGTCTAATGCCCCTGCAACGATCCCCCTTTTCTATAAGCTGAGGTCTGATCATCCAACAATGGTATCCCTTGGTCCATTCCGTTGACCACTACTGATCCTATGACCCTTAAGAAACAAATGTTTCAATTATCCTGGAGTGTTAAAGATACTGAGGACACCAAACATGTCTTAATCAGTTCTGACTTGTATGACAAAATATCATTAATTTCTCACAGTTCTGGCAGCCCTGGAGTCCAACATTGAGGGGGGTCAGCTGATTTGTCTCCTGGTTAGAGATCTCTTGCTCACACCTACTTTCTTCCTATATCCTTACCTGGTGGAAAAAGAGAGCTCTGGCCCCTTCTTCTTCTTATATGGGCACTAATCCCATTATAAGGGCTCCACCCTTAAGACCCCATCTAACCCTAATTACCTCACAAAGGCCTCACCTCTAAATGCCATCACATTGGGGTTTGGGACTTTAACATAAAGGTTTGTGGGTAGCGCAAACATTTAGTTCACAGCAGCACACAGTTTTCCTCAATCAGAATTGACATATTTAAACAAGAAGTTTTAGATAGACATTGGATTAATGGAATGATAACAGAAAAAGAGGTAGAAACAAGAAAAAATAAGATAAAAGAGATAATTAAATATAAAATGTACTTACTTACATTTCAGCACACAATGGATACTCTAAATGTTTGTTTGCCGTTAATCGAAATAATTCCTGTCACACATCTAACACCAAACTTCTTATAAACATGAATACTTAACAGAGCTTCTATTTGATTTCTATCCTTTCCATATTTAGGGAATTATTATTATGGCAGACTAACAAATGAATGGAAGATGAGTATAGCCTTGTTAGTGTACTGTGTCAAGCACTGTCACTCAGTTATGTGCTCATTTATTTTTCTTTGGTATAAAATATTTTGTGCATTGTTAATTAACCTCTTATCACTTGTCACTTTCTTTTAGGGCTTTTTTATCACAAATTGTCCAGACTTAACGATTTTGGCCTCCCAATTGGTATATCTTAACTTATCCTTCAATGACATCAGTTACTTCCCCACAGAAGTGAGTCCATTTTTATCATTGTGTATATTGCACTAATTTCTTATTAATAATAATTATAATAAAAAATAGACATTTATGATACCCTGGAAAAGAGCAAAAAAATAGACAGGTGATACAGCCAATCAATGTTCATTTGTTGATTCTACTACATTAGTTCAAAGGGTTTATAAAATGTACCAAGTAGAGATCTGTGATACTTGATCATTCTACTCATGTTTGTTTCTCTTTTCTGTTCCTCAGATACTTTGTCTTAAAAATTTACAAATACTATTACTAAGAAATAATCCTATCAAAGAAATCTCTTCTGAAATTCAGCAACTTAAGCTCCTTAGAGTTTTCAGCATTGCCTTTAATTTGATTACTACTCTTCCACCTGGGTAAGGTCAATGGCTTGAGAGTATGAGCACAGAAAATAAAGAGCTTATAATTTAGAAAGAGATCAATTTCCCTTTTGAAAGCAGCTAGCAACTGAATGATTCCCGTTCTCTTCCAGTTAGCTGACTTGCATCTTATCATTGTGTTAAAAGCAATCCTAGCAGCTACACAGATGGCAGCTAGTGAGGGGCTAGTGAATGCTCATCTAGAGATCCATTATTTGAGTATGGATTAAGTGAACACCAATTACAGAAAAAGGCTCGAGTGAGAAACTTGCACTGATCTCTTGATAGCCTTTGTGCATTTGGAAAGGACACTGCATATGGAATTAGGAAATCTAGACTTTTAACTTCAAAATGGATAATGATCTGTTTTAGCTGGGGAATCACTTAACCTTCTTGGTCTCAATTTCCTAATCTATAAATCAAGAAATTAGCCAATATGATATGTATCATCCTTTAATAAGAATGTTGATATTTGGGTATAAAAGAGATGGAATTTTTCCAGACTTCTGGACTGGTGATTATTTAATTCTTAAACCAAAACCTTAGCCAAATGCAAAATGACATATATCTTTCAGTTAAACAAATTGGATGTGGGTTAAGGGCAAAGGGACAAGGACTCTTATACAGTTGAACATTTTGTAAAGAAGATTCTCACCAAAATTAAGGAAATGCATCAAAATTCATTTATTAAGTTGTTCACCTGGCATTGTTTATATTTATCAATCCAAAAAATTCTGCATTAATAAACTGTAAAACTATTCAGTCATTTAAAAGAATGAAAAAGCATGTAAAACTTATACCATTCCTGTATATAAACGCATTTCACGTTACACATAATACATGTATAACAAATCAACACTAAAAGTAAGAATATTGCATTGTGTGTATTTTATTTCTATTTAAATCATCTATTTTTTCAACAGTAATATAAATTGTATTTTCCCTGCCTTGATTCTAGAAGCAGCTGTTTCTCTAAGCAAACTCAGCTTCCTTTTTATTGGCAGATGGTATTTAAAACCGAGATCTGGGTGCTAGAAGTCCCAGTGCTACTGGGATAACATTGTTTCTAGACACCCTGGGAACAGAGCTAAGTAATACATGTGTGTCTACTAATCTGTGTGTACACATGTATCTATATTTTTCTGTGTGTGTATGTGTGTGTGTGTGTATATGTGTGTATATATATATATATATATATTTGTAAATATACACCGCACATAACCCTGTGTATATATACACATATACACACACAGCTACATATATGTATGCATATAGAGACCCATATATATGTATATATGCATATATGAATATGTACATCTAAATAAAATTTATATTTAATAATCTGTAAAATTGTAATTATGACCTCTAATAACTCTATGTCATTTAAACAAAATGTAAAAATTCCTAAAGCAACTACAACTTGTTCATAGCTACAGAGTCAACATTGCTCACTATTTAGAGATTAAGCAAATTAGTTTGAACTATTGGTTAACTATTGGTTACACTCAAAAAGGTTTAAGGAGCTATTTCTAAAAAATATTAGAGTTCCTAAAATAAAGCAGTATATATATTTTTTTTTCAAGATTTTATTTATTTACTTGACAGAAAGAGAGAGCTCAGGCAGGGGGAGCAGGAGGGGAGAAGCAGGTTCCCTGTAGAGCAGGGAGCCTGAGACAGGGCTCGATCCCAGAACACTAGGATCACGCCCTGAGCCAGAGGCAGACACTCAACCAGCTGAGTCACCCAGGCCCCTCTGAAGCAGTATATATATTTTTTAATCAAATAACATGGTTTATGTATGCATATTAAGGGGAGATCGACAGCACAAAGTCAACTGAGGCCTAAGTTTTTGTTGCTACTATTTTTGCCCTGAGCTGCTTGGGGCATAAGCTATGCAAATGCAGATACCAAAGCCCAGGTTCTGGAGGCACAAAGAACTGGGTCCTCATCTTAGCTATGCCCCTTACAGATAGGCCCTCTACAGTTACAGTTATGCCCTTGATTATACTATGGAAAGGTATACTCAATGCTCTCAGATGAAATGTTTGAAGTTTTGTGACCACGAAAAGGTCTATTTAGTTTTCTTGTAAAATAAAGACAATAGATCACTTAAAAAATCCAAAAGGTTTCTTCTTTTTCCCAAAGCTTTAGGATAGCATTTGTTCATGAAAAACACGGGATTTTTTTGTTCATTTAAGAGATAAAGACATCACCAGAATGTGTCTCTCTCCTTGCCTTGTTTTTTTTTTTGTTTGTTTGTTTTTGGGGGTTTTTCCCCCCTTTTTTTTCTGTTTCTTGTCTTTTTTATCCCAGAGCCTCACTGGAGGGCCCGGACAGACTCCAGAAAGAACCGACTCCACTAACACCACTAAAACCTTGATTTTGGACTTCCGGCCTCCAGAACTGTGAGGGAATAAGTGTCCGTGGCTCTAAGCCACCTGGCTTGTGGTCATTGGTTACATCAGCCCTAGGAAACAAATATAGCAACCAAGAAAAGACTCTCTCTAAATGTTTTAGAAATTTCTCAGGCTTTTTCTGAATGGGGCTTTATCTGCTCCAAACATTTCAAAGCCGTCTTAAAGGGTAGAAGAATCATTTTAGGAACTTCGATTGTCATTAAGCCACCTATAATGAAAACAAGTCCATAAATTTCAAGATTGTAGGAAAATGTAGTTTCTCCATATTTCTACCTCTTTGCTCAAGTATTTAATTCTTTATTCATGCCTAGTAATGACAAGCAGGTAATCATTTTTAATTCCATTTTCTCTTTCTAAGGTTATTTCTTTTGTCCCATCTTGAGGAACTTGATATTTCCTACAATGGTATTGCTTCCATTCCTAATGAAATCCAGAAACTCAGGTATTCTGAAAGTTGTAAGTACACAAAGCCATATGTCCTGTCAGGACATATTTGGTGATGACTGTGTTGGAGAAAACGGAGTTCGTTCATACATTTAATAGCCACAAAACATAATATATGAAACATCACATTTATGAAAACGTAACTTGAATGACTGGCATTTTTAAGACATAACATTTTCAGTAATTATTTAAAAGTTGTACTGATGGCTTCTTAATAGAATGACATACTTCATTTTGTCCATTTTTCTGGATGTACGCCTATAGTTCTTATCAGTTTTATTTCTTCAGGATAAGGAAATACATATAACAGTGTAAGCCTAATACGAAGCCCTGATTCTTTCTCACATTGATTTTTAAAATCTCACATCTGAAGTTCATCTCTGTCCTTACAGATCAGTACTCCTTTGATTATACTCTTTTGATTATGACTTTAGAATAATTTTTAATAATTAGGAGGGAGATTGTTTTTCAATAATAGCCTTTTAACTAGCTCTTTAGATCATGAGTTTTAAGAGCATTTAATATACTTCCAAGCCCCTCTACCCCCCCAAAAAATAAACACAAAATTGAGATTTCAATTGGAATTGTCTTGAGTTTACATACAGGTTTCGAAGAATTTACATTTCTGATGTTAATAAATATTTTCATCCTAAAACAGAGCATATTTTTTCATTTGTTCAGATCTTATTTTATGTCCTTCATAGGAATTTATGACTTGGGGTGCCTAGAGGTTGACTCTTGTTTTCAGCTCAAGTCATGGTTTCAGAGTTGTGAGATTGAGCCCCACATCCTGACCCAAATCAGGCTCTGCACAGAGTCTGCTTGAGATTCTTTCCCTCTCCCTCTCCCTCCTTCTCTGCCCCTTCCACCCCCGCCCCCCACTCTCTCTAAAATAAATAAATAAAATCTTTTAAAAGATTTATGACTCCCTTCACATTAAGTCCTTTATCTTTATTACTAACCTTCTCTAAGTATTCTATAATTGTGTTGTTATTATGAATGCAACATTTTCTATAATTTTCATTTCTAGCCAACTGTTGCCCATACAGAATAGAGAAAAGCTATGTCCTTCCTTACATGAATTTAAAATTAAGCGATATAACCCAAATTATCTTCATTCTGGCTCAGTTTGACTAGATTTCGTTTGGGTTTCCAGGAGCATAGTCTTATCTACAGTAAAGTGAGATGATTTTGTCTTTGTTTTCTAATATTTGTACCAATTATTTAATTTCCCATGTGACAATCTTTATATTTTAATAGGGGAATTCAACCTCTTCACCTTTGTTATGGCCGATATATTCAGTTTTTTTCTTCCATTTTACTTTGCATTTACTGTTTATTCACTTTTTTCTTTTCCTATTTGCCTTGGGTGTGAGTGTGTGTGTGTGTGTGTGTGTGTGAATTTTATTAAGTGTTTCTCCTGCTTCCACCCCAATTTCTCTGCCTCCCAGAGCACGACTGCCTCAAGAGCACCGCTCTGTGTGTTTGTCAGTTTTTCTCTTTTGGCTGCTCTGCCGTCTGCTCAGGACCAAAGGCAGTCACAAGAGCACCATTCAGAGAGCGTCAGTGACCTAACGGGAGGAAGTTTCTCTGCTCCCGGCGATGCTCAGATGCTCAGCTGCTAAGGCTGTCGCTGGTGGAGCTCTTCCAGCTTTAGAGACTGCTGAGCCTAGCAAACTCCTCAGACCTCATCCAGAGGAAGGATGAGCCCAGACTGCTGAAGCCTCTGAGATAAAGCAACTCAGGAAGGGGCAGCCTCCGCCAAGGGTATTTGGGGAACCCCACTGACATCTCCCTAGAGTCCACCACACTTATTTTGGCTGTCCTTTGGGCTCTCTGCTGCTGGCCCTAAGGCTCCCTAGAGGGAGCAGAGTGACCATGCCAGCTCTCTCCTTTGGGACCACAGTAAAGCCTGGGGTTTTGCTTCCCTTTTCCAGACTATGACAAGTGCAGTAGTCAGACTGTGGCTGTGGATGAAGACGGGTGAGGGGCCATGTTCCTAGCCCCATTGTTTCAAATCCCACCAAAGAATTTAAATTGTGTGAGGAGGAAACTACACTGCACATGAGAACCTAGAGTTCCCAGCAAATTTTGACCTACAGTCCGCATGTCATCCTTTTTCACTCCCAGCAAGTTGGACTAGCCTTTGATTTGTTTTTATGTGTCCCTCATAAACAGATACTTTTCTGTCTGTCTCCAGCACTAAGTAGAAAGATGTGTAACTGAAAAAAAAAAAGCACAAAAAAACACCCACACACCCACACACAAAACAAAAACAACACAAAAAAAACCACCATCAAGGCAGGTAGTATAAAATGAGAAAATCAGTAATGTTCTCTTCGAACAAAGGAATCACTGTTATCAGAAACAAATGGCACAGTAAAAACCAAGGGGATTCAGGTGATGAAAAATCAAAGCTGCAATATAACACATGATATTTTTTGCTAATGGTAATTCCACTGTTTTGATTAGACTTGAAGGAAAAAATGTGTACTGGTGTTCAGTTTGTCTATGAAAATATATTCTATCATTATACTATACTAGTATTTTTCTTTTTCCATAATGGTATGTTGCAGAGACCCAAAGTACATGCTTTAACTCTGCTATTCACACAAATGCACTGATCGGCATAATAACAAACCGTGTCATTTGCTTTGTAATTCTCCGGTTCTAAGAAAATACTTAAGCACTTGGACGTTATTGCTACTACCTTTAATGCCAATTTGCAGGAACACAGGGACAAAAAATTTTACTTTGGTATTATAAATTGCATAAATACCTTTTAAATTTGGTTTCCTTTATTTGCAGATCACTTGAAAAACTGAATGTCGATGGGAATGAACTGACAACTTTTCCATCTGCAATTTTGAAGCTTAACCTGAAAAAAATCCTCTTTGAGAATACTTTCACTCATCCTATGTTTTGGAAGGAGAATTCTTTGAATAGCCCACCATCCCTTACTCAAATTGCTTCTTTTTTCTTTTTAAAAAATAATCTACGTGAATATTATAATGTGATCCCAGCGGAAATTCTAAAGCTACTCAAATGGTGAGCAGATTCTGACACCCTTTTAATGAAAATACACCTTTAAGCATTTAAAATGTTGTTCCTTAGAGGCCAGATGACAGTTCTACTATTAATACATCCATATCGCAGCCTCGAACATACATAGAATTCTTTAAATTTCTCCTTCTGTCTCTTCAGAGTAATAATGAAGTCTGAATTCAGCCCGTTTCCTAATATTCTCAAGTTTAACTGAGAATTAATTCCAGTGTGAGTTACAAATTGCTGAGGCGTGGCCGGCCACATCTATACGGTGTGATTTTAATCTTTCCTGTGAATTACTAAGGACACAGAAGTGGTTTCTTCCAAAAAAGGGTTCTTTGGTCCCCGGCAGACTATGCAGGGAAACACTTTGTAAGAGACCAGGAAGAGAGCCACCTTATCTAGAGCATTTTCTCCTCCTCAGGGATTAATGGCCAGTGTGAGAATCATTGCCTAATCTCAGGACCAGGGTTTCTAAAGCCCGTGCACTAGGAGTCCACTCAGCTTCTCTCGTATTTTCTTCCGATGGTATAAAACTATTCTTACACTCACCAGTCCTTATATTATTGATTTAACAAATCTTTGTTGTCTGCCTAAGTAAATTTCCCAGCAGTGTATAAATTACCAGTATTGACTCCATAAAAGGCAGGAAGCCTAAACAGATAGTAATCATCAAAGAAATTGAAAATGTGATTAATAATCTACCAATAGAAAAGGGCCCAGGACCTGAAGCATGTTAAATCTTACTAGTAATCAAGGAACTGCAACATCAATGGCAACAACAGATATTTTACTTGTTTTATTAAGATTAAAAAGATTGACCTTAGGGGCGCCTGGGTGGCTCAGTTGGTTAAGCTGCTGCCTTCGGCTCAGGTCACGATCTCAGGGTCCTGGGATGAAGCCCCACATTGGGCTCTCTCCTCAGCAGGGAGCCTGCTTTCCCCTCATCTGTCTCTGCCTACTTGTGGTCTCTGTCTGTCAAATAAGTGAACAAAAACTTAAAAAAAAAAAAAAAAGAAAAAGATTGACCTTAAACTTTGTCGTTGGATGCCCCAAATCTGGATCACTATATACCAGTAGTAGTGCTGTAAATTGGCAAAAGCTTTGTGGAAGGCAACTGGACAGTATCCTACTTACCCCTTGAAACAGAAATGTAAATCGTCAGAATCCATCTCATAGAAATAGTTACACGTGAACACAAAGTTAGGACTAGGGATGATAACTGCAGCGTCAGTGTGCATCAATTAAAAAGTGGTAAAATAAATTATGGTGTATCGACATTATGGAATATTATGATGCTATTACTATGAAGCAAAACAAAATGCATTGCAATAAAAAGTTGTCCAAGACATTTCGTTAAATCACTTTTGAGATTTTATACATAGACTTTAATATGTATACATTTTTATATTAAGTTTTATTGTTTAAATCTAAAATTGGCAAATTATACCAATTTCTACACCACCAAGAAAGTCTGAGTGTTCCTGATGATTCCCATCCTCACCAAATGTCGTACTGTCAGACTTTTCCATTTTGCCCATCTGATGATTATGAAATGGTACCTGTCCTCTCTGATTACTGAGATTGAGAAGCTCCCCTTCTCAATGTTCTCTAGACATTCAAGTTTCTTCTTCTGTGAATAGTCTGTTCATGTGCTAATGTCAGTGGACTAATGGTGTTGATGTCTTTTTTTTTTTTTTTAACTGATTCAGGAGCCTTTAAAAATATATACAGACACTAATCCTGTACAAAGCTATGATATAGTCCCTTTATTTTTTTTTAAATAGTATCATTATTTTGAACTATAAAATAAGGCATAATTATTATGGAAAGTTTGGAAAATACAGAAAAAGATTACAAAGGCACATAAAATTTCCTGTGATCACACTGACCAAGAATAATTACTGTTTTCTACTTGGAATCTATTCTTAAGAGTGTTTTCTGCTATGCATCTATACTTTTTGTTTTAGAAAACCAAGATTGTTTTATATACATTTATCCACTTTATTTTTTATCATTTACTTTTTACTTATGTATGTCTTAGCTCCTCAATTAGAAGGTAAGATCAATAATGACAAAGGCCCTATTTTACACTACTGTGAGTCTCACATAACATCAAGCACAATAATCTTTTCTTCCATAGAGATTTACTAAATATTGACTTGATGTGTCTTCCCTTGCAGCACATCTAGGTGTGAATGGTGTCAAGGTCCCATGTTCGGTGAAGGTTTTCGAGTCATCCGATCCTATGACGGTTTTGGAACAACACACCTTCCTATTTTGTTTCTTGTGTGTTCTTCTTCCTGCTATAGAGAAGTAAAGGAACGCAGTTTTATTTCAAGTAGTATTCCTAGTGGAAAAATAACTCTAAATTCTGAGTTGATAAGTCAGGCAATGATTTAGGAATCCCACTTTAAAAGCCATTAGAGTTTATGTCTATAGTAATTAACTTCTTTGAGAGTACAGCTTCTTTCTTCTGTGGCTCCTCTTTGTAATCTCAGCTCCTTAGGAAGTTTGCGACTGTTGGGGAATGGTTGCAGAATGATTACTTAAGAAGGATAAGTAAAAGGTCTTTGGATTTCAGCGGAAATCTAGAAAATTTCTTTTAGAGCACATTTGCTGTCGAATGAGAAATGATGGAAAACTTTGCAAAAAAAGGATTTACATTACAACTGGCACTTTCATGCATCCATTCCAAGTGATAAGATGGCATTTCAAAGTCATCAGTGGGGCTCCTGTCTCAGATGAGTTCAAAGTCATGTACCCAAGTTCTCTTTGTGAATTTCTGTGGAAATCCATCCAGTGCCAACCATCTCAATTGTGGATTGTTTTAGGGAATAAAAGATTCATTCCAGTCCTATATTTAGTTGTTTGAATTCATTACCCAGGCTCTTAGAAAACTGGTACAATCTCTCAGTTATCCTGACCCTCATCTCACAAAGCCTGACTCCATAGACCGCTGCCAGCATTCAACAGGCCTTCAATGAGAGCCTGGCAAAAAAATAAAGTAAAACTTACAAAATTACATTGCAGAGCAACATACAAATACAGTAGAACTTGAGGCTTTAAGAATTAGTGTTTGGTAAGAGAAAAGTAAAAGTCTTTTGATATGCAAACAAAGACATTTTAGAGTAGCACAGAATTGTTTCATATTTGGTATATTTTTTTAAATACACTTAAATCCAAAATGTCATTGCTAATGACAAAACTTGATAAAATCAAATGATTGAAATTTGTATATATATCTTATCTTTAGAGAATGTCAGAAAATACACATTATGTCAGGTGTGTTTGTGTGTGTGTTTCATTTAGTACTATTTAAATCAAAGACAAAATAAACCAGACAAATTTTTTTCTGACTGTTGATTTCAATAAATTGGGGTACTCATACTCTCCTCCTTGAGACTCAGTTTGATTTTAAACAGAAATAAGAAAATGTTGTTTGAGAAGTATGTACCATATTCACCAGCAAAAGAATAAAATTCTTTATATAGAAGTAACTACCATATCATGCAAGTAATCCAGACGAGATATTTATAGCATAATAACAAATACATATATTAAAATGCAGTATATCCATACTTCTAAAACAAGATAAAAAATAAGATTACATCCTACTGGCATGTAGCCTATTCATACTCACCTTTGTCTCTGAAATGGTTGTTGGAGGAAGAATTATTTTTTAATTTTAAAAATGTTGATTTTTGCTTTGAATAACAAGGTGATGTGATATTGAGATAGGAAATAAAACAAATTAAGATAGGGAAGAAAGAACAGTTTTCAAAGGAAATTACAGTATCTTAGAGATGCTGCAGAAAAATGAATATACCTAGACATTTGAACAAATACGAAAAAAAAAATCTCGTTATTTCCTCATGGTTGGTGTAAACCTTGAATCTAAGTGATCTAAAACATATTAATTACACAAACATTTGAAAACAGAACTAAACCTAAGAAGAAAACAAAGTTCTCCTTGGAATGTCACTCAATGAAAACCAGAGATAACCATCTCGACATGTATATTGTCTATGTGCACATTTATATATTGCCTTTTTAAAAATATGTATTTATTTTAGAGAGAGAGCAAGAGCATGAGCAGGCGAAGGGGCAGAGGAGGAGAATCTCACGCAGACTCTCACCTGAGTGCAGAGCCTGACCCAGGGCTTGACCTCAGGACCCTGAGATCATGACCCAAGTCCAAATCAAGAGGCTGTCCCTTAACCGCCTATCCACCCAGATGCCCGATATTACTCTTTTATTAAAGAGGGAATTATCTGCCTCACACCATACACAACAATTTCTAGATTCCTCAAGGTTTAAATTGAAAATATAAATAGATAAATAGGGTCTTAAATAATTAGAATGAGAAGGACTTTTTTAATCAGGAAATGCAGCCGGAAAGAAAGGATGAACAGATTCAATATGTAAAAATTTTTAAAATTCCTGGACAGCCAAGATCCTCATACATAAGGTCAAAAGACAAGCAGCTCATGGGAAAATACCTGTAATACATATAACTGACCAACAGGAAAGTCGTGATTGTAAATGACAAAAACCCACTCTAAGGAAATGTAACCGTATTTGTTTGTGTGTGTGTCTTCAGGCACAGCCAATTCAGGAACTCAGACGGTTGTGAAGGCAGTATCTGTTTTTCTGCCTATCTATCTAGCTATCATCTATCTCTGAGCAACACTTTTAAGCTTGCCTCATTTCCAGATAGCAAGGATGGCCACGGATGATTCCAGGTTCATGTTCTGGAATGTCAGGAACCTTAGAGAAAAGTGCACTATCTAAGCCCAATCATTACACTGAAACACATTAGGGATGATTTTCTTTGGCTCGACTTGGTTCACATGTTCATATATGAACACAACGTTGTAGCTTCATGGATGGAATGCTCTGATTGGCCAGGACTGAGTCACATGCCCATCTCTGGAACTGGGAAAGGAGGAATTCCCTCTTCCCAAAACACATGAGTCAGATTCTCTCCAAGAAAGAGTTCTGGGACTGAAAATTGAGGGAAGTTTCTCCAGCCCTCTTCTATGTGATGCACACTCACACACGCACTTGCTGTTATAGGACCACTTCGGGATTATTTTTATTCAAAGTGGGGAGTTTTTTGACATGAAGATGTTAAATTTTAGTTTATAAAAATCATGGATAAGCCTGGAGGACGTTATGCTAAGTGAAATAAGCCAGACACAGAATGAAAAATACTGCCTGATCTCTCATATATGCAGGGTCTGAAAAGGTCAAGGTCACAGAAGTAGGGACTAGAACAGTGGTTACCGGGGCCTGGAGTTTTCCCTAAAATGGGCAGATGGATGTTGGTCAAAATCAATCTATTCCCTTACGTTGTTATCTTTTATTGCTAAGCTTAGCAAGTCTGTCTGTCTTTCTCCCCAAATTACAGAAATATCTATCTGTAGTTTACTTATTTTACATTTTAATACTGGTGCACCTCAAAATTACTTTAGTATGGAACATGAGGTGTGGATCCAAATTTAAGTCTTTCTAGAATGCTGGGACATTGTGCCCCTTCCTGTTCATTTCCTACTGAAGCTTTACCCTACCAACTCGAAATGCCACCTTTATGACGCACTGAATTCTGAGATAATTAGGTCTATTTCTGTTTCTTTTTTACTTTCTACTCTATTCCATTAACTTGTCTATGTGATGCCAACACCATATTGTTTTAATTATTTTAACTGAAACTACATCTTAATATATCTTATTCAAGTTCCCACTCATTGCTATTTTTGTTCAGTACTTTTTCCCCCCCAAAGATATATTTATCTACTTGAGAGAAAGAGAGCAAGAGTGAGTCAGGGGAGGAGCAGAGGGAGAGGGAGAGAGAGAATCCCAAGCTGATTCCGAGCTGAGTGTGGAGCCCAAAGTGAGGCTCGATCCCACGACCCTCAGATCACAACCTGAACCAAATGGAGAGTCAAACGCTCAACCAGCTGAGACACCCAGGCTCCCCTGTTCAATACATTTTCGCTATTCTTATACCTTTATTTTTATATAATACTTATTAAAATCTTTAAAATTACTTTGTATTATCTTCCTCCCTTTCACCAAATAAAGTACTTTGGATTTTTGTTAGCAACTGAAGGAAACTGAAAACCACATGATATAGAACACACACTGTATGACTTAATTTATGGACTAATAATGGTAATGATATTAATTCAGCTATTGGGAGATTTTTTTCTATATTATATATGTAATATATATATTTTCTATATTATATATATATTCTACATTGTTTATGACAAAACGCTGGCCTCTTTTTGGGAGCAATGATCATGAATATTGTTGTTTATGTACTTATTTAAAAAGTAGAATTTTTAAGCTCAAAGGTTTGATCCGTGTAGCTCTGAGGAGGACTCTACCTTGCTCAGGAAAATTGGATGCCAGCTCTGGTTGCTCTCTGCTTTGTCCTCAGTTCTCTCTGTGGAATCCACATGCTTAGTTGGCTGGGGCAGAAGGCAGGGGTTGGGGGTGGGCCAGCAGGGTCTCTACAGGCCCCTGTGCTGGGGATTGTCTTTTTCTGCTTGGAACCTAAGGAGGCGGAAGTACGTGCCATGTTCTGGGCCCCGGGTGCTCAGAGGTCACATATTGGTGTCCTTGTTTAAGCAGCACCTTAATCCACAGAGGAAATGCTTTATTTTCACACACCCGACGTCACACCTCCTGAGCCTGTACCCTTGACAATCTCTTTCCCAGGAACTGCCCCTCCAACAACACACCATAAGTGACAATTTGAAGACACTCGATGGTGTCACTGTCTGCCAGAGATGCCAGGGGTGGAAATGCGCTAACCTCAGCCAAGGCAGCCCAGAGCATTCCCCAGCCTAGGCTGGTGCAGCTACAGTGAGCTTTCCAGGTGGTCCTGCTGGGGGGAGTCCTGAGGGGGTCCCCCACCTTCAGATTCTGGGGTCAGGGCCTGAGATCTCAGAGTTGATTGCTCAGGAAGGCAAAGGAATGTCCTGTTTCGAAGTGGTGACTGGATTCTTTTATGGGCCCACCACTCTCTGGGAATGCGCTGTTCCTACCAAACTCCCAGACTCAGGGTCCTTACTTCCAGTAAGGTCAAGGAAAGCAGAGATGGAATCATGTGCCTGAAGCTCCTCGGTGCATTATGGGACTGACTGACAAGGTACCTAGTGCAGGACTTGGCCCCGAGCCAGGGCTCTGAAAAGGGTAGCTCATATCTTTAGTGTCAGAATGTGTATTTTCCCAGCCTCAACCCAATTCTCCCTTGTTCTATACCATGATGGCTGCCTTCAAAGGCATTATGGTTTGTCTTTTTATATAGATTTTAAACAACTATTTCTCCAATTTCTCCTCTTTTTAAATTATCAGCACAAGGACATTTCCAATGGATTGAATATCAGTTCAAGATCTCTGATTTTTGTTTTGTTTGCATCGCAATTAAGCGGAGGGGGGGAGGATGTAGAGATTAATGGCAAAATTGATTCTTTTTTTCTATTTTTCCCAAGTTGTGCTTAGGTAAGCACTTCTAATCTTTAAATAGGATTCCTTTGGCTAGCAAACAATGCCACTGTTCCAAATGCAATTAATCTCAGAAATCCATAACTGCACAAATCAACAATGCCAACCCATTTTGACGATCTAGCCACTCTTTTCCAACACATCAGGAATTCCTGTTTTTCACCAATAAGAAATGCTGTATGTTTGATCAGAAAATGGTAGTTGGAGGACATACATGTGAGAGGCCCAAGGGCCCTTCTGCTGCATACCTCTGGGGAGACCTGAAGATGCTTTGTTTTGCGGTGGAAGAAAGAAAAATAATAATCACATCAGCACTATTTGAGTAAAACTTAGAAACTAGTGCTCCCTGGAGATCTTTTTTTTTTTTTTTTTTTAGTTGAGTTCAATTCACCAGTGATTTATTGAGCACCTACTAGATGCCAGGAACGATGAAATATAGGTTCTTTGGATCTAGTATCATGTGGAATGTTCTATGATAGAGATGTGAGCGTGGTGGGAATGCAGTGAAGCATCACAGAGCCACTTACAGAGATCAAGG